TTGCCAACCTGGATCCGACCCACGTGGGTTACCAGGTTGACCTGACATGACCCTCCAACCCGCTCATTTTTGAATTCCGCCCATCCCTTCGTCACTCGTGCGGGCGTGCCGACTAGCCAAACAGGTTATGCGAGGTGGCCAGGCCGGGGCGCTGCCTCGTGCTACTCGTGTTGAATGCATATTTGTTTTTTCTTATTCTTTTTTATAGATGACATTTTCAGGAAACCATCTCGAAGCAATATAAGATTATTTAATGTGATAGTAGGAGACTTTCATGTTAAATATTTCTCAAAGTAAATATGGAGTTCCCTAGCTTGAGCCACATTGTCAAGCTTGTCACCGTTTTATAACTTATATTCCTTTTCTTAATCACTGCAGCTATTTCTATACCAGCTAAATATGGCATGTTTTCTTAATCCTAGACGTGTGCTACCATTATATGTAACTGCTGTATACAAAAATTGGCTGAGATGTTCAGTTTACCTGATTACATTTTAAGTTTAGGGTGAGGACAAATCAGGACCTCGATGTCATAGTTGTGGATTGATCATTCAATCCAAAGGCACAAAGAAGATGAAGCTGCTGTCAGAACAATTGATCTGTAGGCACTGTGCAAAGGTATTAATCAATCTGCCATTGACTTCTTTAAGGAAATTCCCTGGAATCCCCCCAATGCTAAATATAGATTTATGATCTGACCATCTTCTGAAGTATTAATTGTTATCTTCCATCATGCACAATCTTTTCAGTTGTTGAGGTCAAAACAATACTGTGGCATATGTAAGAAGATCTGGCATCACACAGATGGTGGTAGTTGGGTAAGTTGAATTACTTCATTGTCAAAATGGTTGTCTTTGATTTTCATAGAAATGCCAGTTCAAATTAGTTAAGGCCTTCTCCAACCGAATTCCAAACGCATGAATGACGTCGCTCGCGAGCTCCAGCTGAATGACAAAACTTCCGGTATTTGGTTGTGGGTGAACAGTGCGATGTCAATATTGACGTTGCACTGTTCACCTGCGTTATTTTTCTGTCTCCACTAGATTTGCCGAAGAAATGCGCGAAGGAGAAAGACGGTTACCTGGGCGCAAAATGGAGTTTGATTGGAGATGAATCAAGCCATTTTTTTTTTGTTACACTGCATTTTGGAGTGAAAAATGAGATTTTCGGTTGGGGATACCCTAAGCCTTTATATGAACCATTCAATAAATTTTAGGTTTGCTGTGATGGATGCCAAATTTGGGTTCATGCGGAATGTGACAAAATATGTGACAACCTTAAGGTCAGCTTGAAGTCATCTTGTTAGTATTAACTTATCATTGGGATTACTGTGGCCATCATCGTTTCTATTATTTTTGTTCTTATAATATAACTTCATGTTTTAAAGGATATTGAAAACTCTGATTACTACTGTCCGGAGTGCAAGTCAAAATTTAATTTTGAATCAATAAATACAAAGAAGAAGCCCTCTCAAGCAAGGTAATTACTCTTTGTTTGTATTTTTTTCTATATGTTGATTTCAGGTTCATATCTATGTCAATTCTTTATGATTTTGTATTGTTCTTAGACTAATATTTCTTCTCTTCTTAACAGAAATGGTAACAATTTGCAAGTGGCACGACCTGGTGAGATAGCTGTAGTTTGCTGTGGTGTGGATGGAACATACTTCGTTGAGCAGCACATGTGAGCATCAGCTCATCATGAATCTAACTTAAACTGTATTATTATTTAATTTTGATTTCATCACTTGCATATGGTTTGAACAGTGAATATCAAAACCCCTTCCTTTCGTTTGAACTAGTATTTGGTATTTAGTTTCTAAAAATTGGATGTTTATCTTTATAATGGGTTGAGATCAATTGATGAATAAGTGTAGAGTATCTCACACTGCAAGAAAACTGTTAGTCTGTTTTGATTGTTAGATTGATTTGTCTAGAGATCAGTTTGTAAATTGATAGATTTCGATTTCTACCATCCCAACTACATGCAAATTCATTTTGGGAAATATATTCAGAGAAGGAAAAGAAGCATACTTAAAACTTCTGATTTGCAAGAATTCTTCTTTGGGATTGTTTGGTATCAATTCGTATGTGGGCATTGAAAAGAAAAATCTTTTGCAGGCTTTCTGAAGCGACTAAGATGTAACTTAGAGTTGGTGGTTATGACCTTGATTAAGAAAGGTTGGGTTGTAGTATAGATTAAGTCGATTTTAACTATAAAATTGGTTTGTCTGGTTTACGCTTGTTTAAAAAATATAGCCTAATGAATATGTAGACTCATCTGAATGTGTTATGCTTAGCTAATTATGCCATAGTTATCAGAATTACAACCCAATAACAAGGTGCCAACGTTATCTGCTAACCAAAAAAAAAACCTGACTCAAGGTTATTTATGAGTAATTCGGGTCTGGTTTGCCTGCCATTTGTTCTTTAGTCACGTTTGGGTAGTTTCACCTTTTTTGGCTTACAACAACAACAACAACAACAACATTAACACCAAGCTTTTATCCCACTACGTGGGGTCAGTTACATAAATCATTTTTATCCATTGTATTATGTTAAAGTCAAATTCTCATTTAAATCTAATAAAGAAAGGTCATCTCTAATATTTTCTAACCAAGTATTTTTAGGTATACCTCTACATTTCTTAACATAGGCCAAATCTAATACATTTACTCTCCTAACAAGGTCATTGGAAGGCTGACATTTTACATGGCCAAACCATTTAAGACGACTCTCTTTAATCATATCTTTCACTGGATCTACTCCAACATTTTCCCGGATATGCTCGTTTTGTATCATGTTTCTAAGAGTATGTCCACTCATCCACCCGAGCATCCTCATCTCTGCAACACTTAACATAATATTATGTTTCTGTTTTAATTGCCAACATTCTGCGCCATAAAGCATTGCAGGTCTCACCACTGTCTTATAAAATTTTCCTTCAAGATTGAGTGGTACTTTTGTATCACACAACAAACCTGCAGCATTCCTCCACTTCAACCATCCAACTTGAATTCTACTAATAATATTCCCATCTATTTTACCAACACTCTGAATAATAGAGTCAATATATCTAAAACAAGTACATTTATTAATGACTTAATCGCTCAAAGTCACAAACCCCCACTAGATCTATTAATACTAAAATTACACTCCATGTATTCGGTTTTAGATCTACTCAGACGAAAACCTTTAAATTCTAAGGGTGACCTCCATAATTGAGTTTACCTTTAACTCCCTATCTAGTCTTATCAACAAGAAGAATATCATCAGCAAAAAGCTTACACCAAGGTACATCCTCTTGTAGATGTCTACTGAGAACATCCATGATTAATTGATTAAAGCAAAAAGCTAAGGGCTTAAGGCTGATACTTGATGTAATCCAACTGAAATAGGAAAATACTTGGTCAAACCACCTTATGTTTGAACACAAGTAACAACTCCTACATACATATCCTTGATGACTTGAATATAAACATTATTATCCCCTTTCTTTTCTAGAACTCTCCATAGCACTCTTAGAACTTTATCATATGCTTTCTCTAAATCAATAAATATCATATGTAGATCCTCTTTTGTCTCTCTCAACTTCTCCATCAACCCTCTCAATAAATGAATAGCTTCCATAGTAGACCTCTTTTGGCTTAGATGGAGAAAAATTGGTTTTGACTTTGAACAGGTGGACTCGAGCCCACCCTTTTATTCTGAATTCATCCCCCTTTTTGTGATGAACCATTTACTTTTTTATCACTGTATATGTAAGGCTCATAACAAATTACAATTTTTTTAATTCTTAAATATAAGCATTGAAGTCTATTCTAGTTTGATACAGTTGGCCATGCTGAATTAGTGTTAGACCATGTTTTTGGTTCTCATCCGCGTATTATACAGGCTATGGCAGCACATGTCTTCATGTCTAGTCATTTGGATTTGTTGAATTTGACTAATCAGAACACCCTCTTCAAACTGGGAGATGTTGCCCAAGTTACCTTATTATTTTTAAGTACAACTTATGAGCATAGACCACAACAGAAGCTCCTGCCCTGTAATCTTACAGTTTTGGTTAGGGGTATAAACGAGTTGAGTCGAGTCGAGTTTAGGCCCTTATCGAATTCGGCTCGTTAGTTGAAAACTGA